GAGCATGCGCGCAGGGGAGGGGCAGAAAGAGAGGGAGGCACAGAATCCGAAGCAGGTTCCAGGCTGAGCTGTCAGCACAGAGCCCAACACGGGGCTCGAACCCACGAACTGTGAGATCGTGACCTGAGCTGAACTCGGAGGCCTAACTGACTGAGCCACCCAGGCTCCCCTTCCCCCACTTTCTAATTAAGACTTCACCTTTGAGCTCTGAGTGTTTATATACTCTACAAACAAGTCCTTGGTCAGATGTGTGGTTTGCCAAGACTTTTCTCCGCATCTGCAGTTTGTCTTTTCAGCCCGCGGTCAGTCTTTCACAGAGCAAAAGCTTTGGGCTTTGATGAGGTCCGTTGAAGAACGTTTCCTTGCATGGATCATGGTTTCAGGGTCAAGATGAAGAACTCTGCCCAGCCCTAGATCCCAAAGACTTCCTCCAAGTTTTACACTGAACATTGAAGTCTGTGGCTCTCACAAACATGAGATCTAGGTTGTGGCTCGTGGCTGTCCCACCGCCCGCAGGCGCCTCTGCAGCAGGCAGACTTCTAAACTGACGCCAATGGTCCCCTCTTGTGAGATCCCTCTCCTAGGGTGTTGGCTGGCCGCTGACTTGCTTTTAATCCAACTAAGTGACAGGCTGTCACTTCCAAAATGAAGTTCCACAAGCCTGTGGCTGCCACCTGGCGGGCACCGGCTCACTCTCCCTGCTCACTCCCACCGAGCGGACTGTCGCATGGAGAGGCTGAGTGCTGAGGAACAGAGGGCACTCTGACCAATGGCCACGAGTCAGGTTGGGTACGGATCCTTCCCCGGTCAAGCCTTCAGATGAGAGCCCAGCCTGAGCCAACATCTTGATTGCAGTCCTGCAAGAGACCGGATGAGAGATCACCCGAGTCACAGAAGCTGGGACGATCCACAGACTTCTGGGGAAATCTGCTGTGCGGCCACAGCACCTGCCTGTCAATGACAGGCCCCTGCCCTGGCGATTCTGCCAAAGGACGGGGGGCGGGGGCGGGGGAGAGCTCCTCTGGAAACTCAAATTCTGCCTTTTCCCTACAGAGCACAGCAAGCGCACTGAAGGCCATCACACTGAAAACCACTCTCGAAATCACATTCAGGGCCATGGGGGGACGGGACACTTGCCACTCATGTGGCCTTGCATTCACTTGAGGCAGTAGCTCCGGGAGCCCTCCCTGGGCACATCCGACCACATCGCGGCCTCCATGGAAGGGCCAGCATGTCTCTGTCACTGACGCCCCACTTCCTGAGTGCCTGCCTGCGACCATCCTCACGCTGACTGGTGGTGAAGGAATCAGCCATTGTGCGGGGCTGTGGGGCTGGGTCCCTCAGCAACCACGGCGGATTATTCAACACGTGGCACCTGCTCACTCCTTTAATCCTTAGAAACAGCCTATGAGGTAGGCGCCATCATCCCAGTTCTATAGGTGGGGGCATGAAGGCCCCACCCGACAGCTGGAAAAGCCAGAGCTTCTGGGTGGCAGGTGAGCACCCCCACTCCGCACACCTGAAGGGGCCCCCACGGGCCAGGCCGGGTCGAGGGCTGAGGACACGTACACAGTCAGTGTCTTTGTTGCAACTCCAGCCACCAAAGCCCTCAGTGCTGCTGTCTGGAGACCCAGCTTCCTGTGCTGCGCTGAGGGGATTATTTTTCTGGAAAACGTCATATGCGTCTTTGAAATATGAGTTTTACAAAGTGCCGGAGGTCCAGGCGAGGCCTGCCTATGAGAAAGCAATCAAAACAGCAACAACAGAGTACAAAACTGCACACACACACAGAACAGAAAACACCCTTAAATAAAACGTGAGGCTTTACGATCAAAAAGGCGGGGCCCCTGGGGGCTCAGTCAGTTAAGCGGCCGACTCTCGCTCTCAACCCAGGTCACAACCTAATGGTTCCTGCGTTCGAACCCGCATGGGGCTCTGTGCCGACAGCTCAGACAAAGCCTGGAGCCGCTTCAGATGGTCTCCCTCTCTCTGCCCCTCCCCCGCTCACTCTCTCTCTCTCAAAAATAAACATTAAAAAAATTTTTTTCGAAGGCACACTTCCTCCCACCCAGCCCCCCAGCTTCAAAGAGGACAGCTCAACTACTAACTTGCGTGGCACTTTCAGTTTGCCAAGTGCCGTGACAGTACTTTGCCCAGCAGACTTTCCAGATTTGCTAATATGGAATAAAGAGACCCTGTAAGGGCTCCGTTAACCAGAGGATCCACCCGCATGGGTCCAGAAAGCCGGAAGGGCCGGCTTTGGGTTCAGGCGGACCGCGGACTCCCCTGCGGGGCTCGAGCGACACCTCCCTACCAAAGGGGAAGGACCCTGAAAGACCGGCAGGAAACGACAGTGGCTTCACAATGGAGGAAACAAGTAAGTGTAGGACAGATGACAGCCTGATCCGCTGCCCACATCTGCGCATGGGGAGAGAGGGAAATGAGTCCCCGATGGGAACGCGATAGCAATCAGCCCACGATTGTGAAGAATTAATCATGCCGGACAAACTTAATTTAGTTCTGACACTTCTTGGTTCGATGTACAAGAGTCAAGAATAAAGACGACTCGATCCTAGCCGGTGGTTATTTGTAACCTCATACAGAAAATACTAGATTACGTTAACAGCATTAAATGGCAAGAACTGAAGTCTGAGGGGTTACTTCCCTATTGCTTAAGAACACTCCAAGAATTTAAATGCAAAGCAAGAGCAAGCAGCCAAAACGATTCTTCTAGAACCTAAATCAGAGCTCAGGTCCCCTGCTGCCCCCCTCCCTCAGAATAAAGCCCAAGTCTACGTTTGCAACACCCCGGCTCCAGCCAACCAGACTCCTCGCCTACTGGACCATTTCTGTCCAGGGGCGCCTGGGTGGCTCAGTCGGTTGGGTGTCCGACTTTGGCTCAGATCATGATCTCACAATCTGTGGGTTCGCGCCCTTCATAGGGCTCTGTGCTGACAGAGGGAGGATGCCTCAGATTCTGTGTCTCCTTCTCTCTCTGCCCCTCCCTCACTCTCTCTCTCAAAAGTAAATAAACATTAAAAAAAAAAAAAGACCACTTCCTGTGTAACCTCTGGCCGAGTTAGGGACGGCCCCCAAGGCCTCCAAGTCTCCTCCTCCTGCACCCGCCCAAACAAAGGCCAGAATCTCCTCCCGGAGCGAGCTGGAGAGCCGTCTTATCTGCCCTCTGTCCCCAGCCCCCATCCCCCTCTCTCTCTCTCTCTCTCTCTCTCACACACACACACACACACACATACACACACACCACACAGCAGTGGGCCAGGCTTGAACCCGTCCAGAGCCGGTGGAGACACACAGGAGCCACTGGCCACGTGGCTCAGGGGGTCCCCACGCTTCCCAGCTCTGCCTCGGGCTCCCGGGTCCGCCCCGTGAATTACCCTTTTTCTGCAGAAGGCAGCGGGAGTCTGCAGCCGTGAGCCTTCCTCGGCCTGCTTCCCACCAGGTGAATCAGGAGGGTCCGAAGGCCCCTTTTCACTTCCTACTGCCTGTCCCTTTCAGGCCAGACTCAGTTTTCTAACAACACAATTCTCTCAAAAGCTTTCTGGGTCTCCTGGGAAACTTCTTGGGGGTACAATTCCTTCAACAAGAGCCGTAAGCACAGGTCTTCTCAAAATGAGCCCCTCTCGGCCTTGAACCCTGGAGTTCCTCGGGAGCTCGGCGGGGGCTTCCAGCTTTCTCCAGCCTCACACGCTTCACGGCCACCGCGTCATCCCAGATCGCGCCTTCCTGGCCGTCCTGGCTTGAGGTCTGCCAGGAAGCCACTCCTGAGCGTCCACCGTGCGTGCCACCAGGAAGGTGGGGGTGGGGTGGCCAGGGGGAGCCGCTCCCATGCGCTCGAGCCCCGTCTCGGGCTTCCGGCCTCAGCAGCAGGACGCAGAGGCACCTGCAGTACTGCCTGGAAACCCTGCCCAGACCGGCTGCTGTCATCGCCCACCTCCACGCCACACACGACAGCTGCTGACCTGTCGCCACACGGCCGGCACCCACTCTGCTCGTTTCTAACATTCCATTTCCCCACCAACCCCCACGGGGTCTCCCCAAGCCCGAGACACCCGCCAGCACTTTCCTCCTCAAAGTCCTGCCAGCGCCCGCCCGGCTACAAAGTCTCCCCCACACGTGAGATGCGAGGATTTTGCTAGCCGTCTATACACCAAACTCCTGCCTCAGGGCCTTTGCGTTTGCTGCCTTCTGGGGTGGATGTTCTTCCCCAAGAGCACGCCTGTTCAAACGCCGCTTTACCAGCCACCTCTCACCCAGCCTGTAAAAACGGCAGCTTCCACCGCCCAGCCATCCCCGCGGCCCCGCCCGTCTCCACTCCTCCCTTAACCGACTCCATCTGCACTCCTCCGCCCCCAGAGTGTGAGTGCAGGCTGTGGCGCGCCCGGTCTCGCAGGTCCCCAGCGGCCACCGTAACTATGTCTGACACGCAGCACGGGCTCAACAAAGGCCGAAAGGAAGGCCTCCTGCCCTTTTGAAAGACCATGAAGAAAGGTGCCCGAGGCAAGTCCAGCATCACTGCTGGGGGACCGTCCTTAGGGCACGTGGCCACGGGGCAACGGCAATGTCCGCAGGCAGAGTTGCCAGGATTTCGAGCGCACGGCTGGAGGAGGCGCAGCGGTCAGGGCTGCCCCTCGAAACCCAGGTCCGGTGTTCATGTGCCCCAGGGTAGAAGGTGCGGCCCGGTCTGTTGCAGAAAGAGGGAAAGGCCGCGACACCCCAGGTGCCCCGTAAGCACCAAATCCGGGCCCCCGGCTTCTCTGTACACCCGCTGGGCACACGCCGACCGTGGCCGGGCCCCTGCCGCAGCCGGAGGCCTGGTCGGTTCTGGCTTCTCCTCACTGGGTAGTTTCCTGCCGCCGGGCCGTGCTTTCTTCACCCCAAGCGCCGTCCCCCCGCGTCACGTGACAAGGAGACGCTTGGACCCTCCAAACACGGGGACTATCTGAGCAGGGGCTAGCTGGCAATAAAATAAACCAGCTAAAGAAGGTTCTTTTCTTTTTATTTTTGCAATATCATTCCATACAAAAGCAATAGAAACATAACAGTCTTAACAAGAAGTTTACAATTGAGTATTTGAACAGAAAATCTGTACACATTATCATTTACAGCAACTTTACATGGTAAATTAACTGTAAAACACGTCGTTCTCAGCCCCTCTGCTGGCAGCCTTACTCTGGGAGTGTTACGGGGAGCAGGCCCACCTAGCGGCGGTATTCAAAGTACCAAAGTAAGACTGTAGAACTTACATAAAATCCGTGAACTTAATGGCTCAATTTACTAACTTTGACTATTCAGTGCTCTGTAGGAGAAAAAAACACACCTTGACATACTGACGAAAGGCCCAAACTTTAAGTTTCCATAAAGATATTTATTAAAGTTATCCGATTGCAAGAACACTCGGTCAGCTACCAGTGAAGAAAGCTGATGTAAGACTGGTCCTGTGAGCGTGCAGTTAAACCCAAACCAGCCACCTGACAAGTGGGAACTCGGTGTCTCACTTCCTGGTGGAAAACCAGTTAAAAGTACGTTTGTCAGGTTAACGTGGAGGATGGCAGAGATTAAGCAATTAAGTTTTCAAGTTCAATTTTCCTTGGATTTAGTTCCATTTGCAATTTAAAACATGCAAAATATACTCACCATACATAAAATTAACGCTTCTTAAGAAAATAAGGCAAGACTGAATAACAGTTCACCGTGAGATAATGAGATAATGAACTATGAACAGAAGCCATCCGGCCACAAACGCGCAGGACACATGCTCGGCCGCCCCCAACCCGCCGGGGAGGGGGGGGGGCAACTCTCGCTCTCGGCGGCCTCCAGGTGGCACCAGTTAGCTCATGGCTGAGAAGTCTTTCAAGGGCTCCGTTAAACAAGCTTCCAAGTCAAACTCGTCCTCCGCGCCGCAGTCCACGTGCCTGACTTTGGTGGGTGTGCCAGAGTACACGTCCTAGAAAACAGAAGCACGGTCACGGCTACCCCCCAAGGCACACGGGACTTGCTGCCGCCGGCACTAAATCCAGGCTGCGCACCCCGAGGCGGGGGGCACTGCCTCCTCTGGAGCCCACGGCCCTGCACACTAGGATGCTTGGGAGAGAGACTTCAGTGAGTACCTACTTCAAACTCATGGGAAAAGTCACACTTTCTGGGAGGTAGGTTTGTCAAATCCCTACTCACTAACTGACCCCCACCAGAAACTGACTAAAAGCTCACACCTTTAAGGCATCCGAGCCCCAGTCCTGACTCACAGGGAGCTGCAGGACGGACTCCACATACCGTCATCCATGCACTGTGACTCGCGACACAGAATCGCACCGAACCCCGGGACATGCGCCCACCAGCCAAGGAGGCCCTGCCCTGGCTGCTCCTTCTCCAGCCCATGTCACCTCAAACATGGGGGCCACCTCCTAGAGTCTCATCTGGGAATCAATCGAGCGAATGCATGTCAAGGTCTATGCGTTCACTTACTACTTCTAGTAACTGTGCTGCCAAAGGGGCCGTTACATACCATACGCAAGGCACCGTGTAAAACAGACATTTCAGATGTGAACATCCACGTGCATCGTTAACAAGCACAGAACAGATGCTGAAAAGCTAGACGAAACCCAAATAGTGGCTCTCAGGGCAGGATTTGGTAATGCTGTTTAATATATTTCTGAACTGCTTTAATAACAGGTTTTGCTTTTTTCATTAAAAGTTTAATTAATTACAAGGCCACGTAATCAAATCTTAGAGTTTACAATTTAGAACACTTAAACCCACTGAAGCCCAATGTGTATACCAACTTACACCAAAGTTGTAAATGAACGTTAAAAAAAAAAAAAAGGGATTTTTCTGGGGCACCTGAGTGGCTCACTCAGTTAAGCGTCCGACTTCAGCTCAGGTCATGATCTCACAGTTCACGGTTCGAGCTCCGTAACAGGCTCTGTGATGAGCGCTTGGAGCCTGGAGCCTGTTTCAGAGTCCGTGTCTCCCTCTCTCTCTCTGCCCCTCCCCCCACTCATGCTCACTCGCTCGCTCTCTCAAATAAATATTAAAAAAAATTTTTTTAAGTTTTTTTTTTTTTCTTTGGAATGGAGAAATCTGGTTGATATCACTTGACTCATGTTATAAATTGATCACCCCCAATAATGGAACAAACTGACATACCCCCCACTATGGCCACATTCTTGCCTAATGGGTTCAATCTGAATCTAGTTCTTAAAGAAACAGAACCCCCAAATGAGGAATTCCACATTATAAAAACTGGTCTGAAATCTTCCCAAAAACTCAAGGTCACGGGGGAAGTGGCAGGAAGACTAATCTAAGTTAAAGAACTTGTAAGAAATGACAATTTAGACAAGTCGTCCTTTATTAAACTGTAAATCAAAAAACCTTGTAACAGAACGTCATTAGGGCAACCAGAAAACCTGGATATGGATGCTGCCGACAGCATTCTGTCAACATGCCATTTCCCGAGCACAGTGACATCATGCTGTGTCCAGAATTCAGTTGTGTGGTTAAGGGACACACAGTTCTGGGTGTTCCTAGTACTACATAAAGGACTCAGCCCGGGCTGCTCTCGAGACCTTTAGTACACCCAGCTGTGTCTGAACCCCTCTTCCTGGACCCGCCAGGACCTCCCGCCAGGACGCCTGCCTCTAATCCTCAGGGTCTGGCCACGGGGGCTCAGGCCCCTGCTCCCCCTGCCCCTTGCCGGCCCCGGGCCTGAGCCTCTCCCTGTAACTTCTGATTTGGCAGGTGGTATATTCAGAATGTTTCCTGAGCTGGGACAAACTAAGCTTCATCCAAACTAAGGATACTACCAGCGGAGATTTCCATGGGTTCCTTTTTAATCCCGCACACATGTACATAAATAAGCATAAAACTGGGATCACTTACCATTAAATAACCTGGTTTTTCTTAACAATTTTCCCCCATCATTAGTCTTCAAAAACAACTTTGAATATAAACATAACTTTGCTAGTCCTCTACTGTTGGACATCTGTCTTATTTCTAACCTCACAGTCACAAAGAGTGGGTCCACAGACGGTCCACAAGACAGGATGGACATGGCTGGGCTTACAGGGAGGGGACACAGATGGAGGGAGATAAAAGGCAACTATGCACCTTTATTTTATAGGCTTCTAAGCTGTTCAAACACAGTGCAGGAGGGCCTCACACAGGATGATCGCACATAAAGCATAAACTGCTCACCTATAGCTACTTGTATACATGCAGAAAAGTCTGAAAGAACATGTACCCAAAAGCTACAGGATTAGTTGAGACCATTTTTTATATATTGCTTCTAATGTTTGCGGTTGTTTCTTCAAAAACACATAGTTTTTAAAAATTGGCAGGGCACCTGCGTGGCTCATTTGGTTAAGCGTCTGACGTCGGCTCGGGTCATGATCTCACAGTTTTGGATCCAACTGTTTTGGATTCTGTGTCTCCCTCTCTCTCTCTGACCCTCCCCAGCTCTCTCTCTCTCGCTCAAAACTAAATTTAAAAAGGGGCGCCTGGGTGGCTTAGTCAGTTAAGCGTCTGACTTTCACTTAGGTCATGATCTCGCGGTTCGTGGGTTCGAGCCCCGCATCGGGCTCTGTGCTGACTGCCAGCTCAGAGCCTGGAGCCTGTTTCAGTCTGTGACTCCCTCTCTCTCTGACCCTCCCCTGCTCACGCTGTCTCTCTCTCTCCTAGAAATAAAAAAATAAAAATTTTTTTTAAAATAAAATTTAAAAAAAATTTTATTAAAAAATAAAAAAATAAAAATTGGCAAATGTGGGAGAAACCCTAAGCCCAAAATATATCTTTATTTCATAACAATTAGCAAATGGTCCTTGTACTAGCAAATCACCAGCACAAATTACATACAGCCTAAAGTTAACCAGTGACTATCCCGACATAAGCACTGGAACCAAAGGAAAAAAGGCCTTACTTTTTTCTTTTTAAAGTTTATTTTTCTTTCTTTTTTTTTTTTTTTTTTAACTTTTTTTAATGTTTTATTTCTTTCTGAAAGAGAGAGAGAGACCGTGTGAGCAGAGGAGGGTCAGAGAGAGAGGGAGACACAGAATTGGAAGCAGGCTCCAGGCTGTGAGCTGTCAGCATAGAGCCCGACACAGGGCTCAAACCCACGAAACTGAGATCATGACCAGAGCTGAAGTCGGATGCCCAACTGACTGAGCCCCTCAGGCGCCCCTATTTTTTTTTTTTTAATTTCAAGAGAGAAAGAGGCAGAGTAACCCAAGCAGGCACAGCATTGGCAACAGAGGCCAAGGCGGGCTAGAGCCCAGGAACTGTGAGATCCATGACCTGAGGAGAAATCAAGAGCAGGATGCTTAACCATTTCACCAAAAATGAAGCCACCTGGGCCTCCGGAGGCTTTTTACTTTTAAAATGAAAATGGTGGGGGCGCCTGGGTGGCTCTGCAGGTTGAACATCCAACTCCTGACTTTAGTTCAGGTCCTGATCTCAAGGTTCGTGGGACTGAGCCCTGTGTGGGGCTCTGTGCTGACAGCATGGCGCCTGCTTGGGATTCTGTCTCCCCCTCTCTCTGCCCCTCCTCCACACATGCGTGTGCTCTCTCAAAATAAATGAACTTTACATTTGATCTTGGCCAAAAGACCCAGAAGCAGTAATAAAAAAATAAACTTTAAATAAACGAATAAAATAAAAATAACGTCAAATGAACGGTAGGACTGGTTAGGTGGACTGAACCGAAAACCTAGACAAGGCCACTAAAGAGAAACTCCACCAAATCTGATATTCTGATGACGTCAAGAGAAAGGGATAAGGAGCCCCCTTATTCTTAAGCATCAAAATCAAACTTTGGCCGTAATGTCAGTTTATGAAGTGGCACACGTTATCCACAATTAACTTGAAACCACGGAAAGGTACTTACAAAGTTATCCTGAGAGCTTGTCTGGGATTCAGAGCTGCTTTCTACGGATTCAGTCTCCATTTCCCCGAGGTCCACAGGATGTCTGTGAAGTGAAACCAAACAGGTCAGTCAGTCCCCATTTAAAGCCAGGAGGCACATGATGCAGGAAGGTTCTCCCAGCCTGATCACTAAACACGAGCACAATCAATACCACGCTGCCCTGAGAGTGCTGACACGGGTCTCCTCTGCTCCTGAAGGGATCGGGACAGTTTTCAGTGAACTGTCCGCCTTCTCTGACGCCATGCTGCCCAGTCAACCCGCACAGGCAGAGCAGGCTGCAGCTTCTGCAAGTGGAGACACCCACCTGGCTCAGAACACACCACAACCTGCCCCTTCTCAACCGAGGTGCAACTGTTTACACACCCACGGGCGTCCTTCCAGGTAGAAGCAGCATTAATAAGCCCAATTTGGGGACATAGGGACCACCAGAACATACAGATCATCACTAATCTTTCCAATTTTCTTCTCATAAAGAGCATGGAACAATAGTGTCACAGTGGTAAAAAATAGGTATGACACGATGACATCCGTGAGGCCGAATCCATAAAGCCACATTAGAAATCATCTCAAGGACTCCCGGGTGGCTCAGTCAGAGCAGCAGGAGACTCCCACGTTTGAGCCCCGCGTGGAGTATAGACAGCACTTAAATAAAACCTCAAAAAATCATTTCAGGGGCGCCTGGGGGGCTCAGTCAGTTAAGCGTCCGACTTTGGCTCAGGTCATGATCTCATGGTTTGTGGGTTCAAGCCCCGTGTTGGGCTCTGTGCTGACAGCTCACAGCCTGGAGCCTGCTTCCAATTCTGTGTCTCCCTCTCTCTCTGACCCTCCCCTGCTCACACGGTCTCTCTCACTCTCAGAAATAAATAAAACATTAAAAATTTTTTTTAAATCCTTTCAGACACGACAGCTTCTTCTTAATTTCCCCAACACAAAGCAGAAACTCAAGTATCTACTGAATGAACAAATCTGTTTGAAGAAGGGAGAGGTCGGGAGGGAGCTGAGAAGAGGGGCTCAAAGAGAGCACGTGTGTGAGGCCATTCTCTCCAGCGCCCTGTCAACTGCCATCCCAACTCCAGGGTAGAACCCTAGGCCTCAGGCCTTTCCAACCAGGTTGCAGTTGAAAAATCAACAGGAAAAAGATAAAAGGTTTTGTTTCCATAGTTCAGCTTAAGTTACTCAAGTACCTTTGAGAATGTTTACTTTAAAACTTAAGACAGACCACAATCCACGTATTACTAGGTTTACTAGGCTCTACTTTCTCTAGCTACGAAAAGTAAATTAAATCCAGGAAGCATGTTCTTCTCTCCACCGCCTCCCAGAGTGCAGCCATGCCACCTGCACATGTGTGCACAGGGAAACCAGACATGAGGCCCGGGCCGCTGGCTACTCTGCTCTCAGAGAACTTCCAGGGGAACTCAGTACAAGGAGAGCGTGCCGCACAGATGATCAAGTGATTTCGGTCACTGCACGCATCACAGAAACACAGGACAAGAATGCAAGAAAGACATACATTTCTTGCAAATCACATCCTTCTTCAGGTGGAGGATCCCAAAAATGCAGCGCCACCTTCCAGAGTTTGATCTGCTGGTCCCACGATCGTCGACTATACTTTTTGAACTTGTTGGGGGTCTTGGGATGGATGCCGGGTTGTCGAAGGTGTCTGCGGGAAAGAGGGAGGTTATTCCAACACACTCCACCCACATCTGCGCATCGGTTTGAAGATTAACCAAACTATAAACTCAGAGTTATTAAAAAATTACAGATCAACTGAGATTCTATAAAACAAGCAAAACTAACGTAGAAAATGCACTACCCCTTTGACTCTACTATTCTTCTGCTATGTGTGCTCCAGAAAGGTGTATTTGAACCCTAGTCCCACCAAGAAATCGATGCTCTAAGCTTTGCAGCCTGCATGCGGGGAGCAGGTAGAAGAGCGTGCTGCCCGGACCAAATGAGGCAACGCTCACGTTGTTCTCCAACAACATCTTTACAACCTGCAATTTGAACTTTCCTCTTTCTCCATCACGCATGTTGTTAACAGCCTTATAAGACTGCTAGGAGTCTGACCTGAAGTAAAAACCTGAAATGTTTCCCAACACCCTGAGCTATAAAGTGTTGTTTTCTTATCCTCATGTCCCTGGGGGTCCCATCCATTCCTCTTCATTCATGTAAGTGCCTCAGTTGTTCAATGGTCCTCAGCAGGCGTGAGCTACGCCCAGACTCTGATTCAGCTGCAAAGCCCTGGACTACATCAGGCATGTGCCAGTGAAACAAGGCTACCTTGGGACCTCTTTAATATAGCGGTCATAGGCGATGGTGTTCTTTCCGTAGTTGATCTGTTTCTGCCTTCTCATGAGCACACTTTCATCCGTCTCTAAGTCAGCTGGTACCGCGGACCCCGACTCCTTCGAATCAGAACTGAAGAGGAGACAAACAGAACATGCCTTAAGATCACTATGTAAGAAAATGTTGAAACACCACAACAAAAGAACATCTGTCGAGATTTCAAACCATGTTAATCCTCAACAGTCCAGGAATCTGTGTGTACGTGAGAATTTAGTACACAGTCGGTACAGCTTCCAAAGCAGTGAGGAACGGACTAACCAGCACATGCCGCTGAGACAGCCGGCATCTCACGCAGTTGTTTCCACTATCAGACTGCAGGGCTATCAAATTAGAAAAGAAACACTTATGTGGCATTTACCTTCCCGACGAGGACTTTCTCTCTCTCCCAAAGTCATTTATGAGAAGTTTTCTTTTATACCTGAAAGCAAAATAAACATCACTGACTTAAGACATAACTGAGTTAACTGAATATAATGCTTTTAGAACTAAAAGACAGCCTCCAGGAATAAGGCCTTCTTCCTGAGCAGTATGGTCTGGATTAGCAAATTTGGATAACAGCACAGTTGGGTGCTTTTTAATTTTTTTTTGAAATTTAATTTATTTTTGAGAGAGAGAGAGAAAGAGAGACAGAGCATGAGTGGGAGAAGGCCAGAGAGAGGGAGACACAGAATCTGAAGCAGCTCCCGGCTGTGAGCTGTCAGCACAGAGCCCAATGTGGGGCTTAAACTCATAGACTGCGAGATCATGACCTGAGCCAAAGTCAGACGCTTAACTGACTGAGCCACCCTGGATCAGCGAATTCAGGTAACAGCACAGTTGAATGGCTTATTTTCAATCTCTCTCCGGCATCTTCTCTCATAAGAAGGTAAGTTACACGCCAAGATCACACCATGTGCTTAGAGCAACCAGGCTCTGTGAGCAGCAATGCCCTTGATCACCACCATATGTAATAAAGCAGAGGGTCTCTGAGTCAAAGCAAGCCCCTAACAGTTTCAGGTTAAGTAACAAGAGTGGAGTTTCAAAAAAAATAAACCCAAGTTAAAGTAAAAAGTTCTTTCTAACACCACAATTATTTATTAACGAGACACATGTGCCCGAGTCCTGCTCACTTCCCCCCGTCTTGGAAGGAGACGGACACTGTCACCCCCGTCTTGTTCCTCTCGAACTTCACCAGACATCTGACTTCTATCATCATAACAACTACCAAACCCCGGCTCTGCCGAGGTATGTCAGCCAAAGGAATGTACGCGATCTACCACCGAAACCATGGACCACCTCAAACTAGAAGTTTATTTGTCCGAAGTATGTAGTCTGTTCCTCCGTCTCCTTACAAAATCCTAGCCCCCAAGTTTGCGGCGGCATCAAGTACAGTTTGGACGCAGGAAGTAATGAGTTTATTTCCTGTGAATCCAGAAAAGCATCGTTATCAGCCTGTGAGAACAGAGAAAGGAGACTCTCAGATCACTTTCTACAGGGCTTCATTCTCCTCGTGACTCCAGTTGAAGAAGACTGGCTTCAGGTAGGACTGATACTCACTTTCCAATTTTCAGAGAGCTGGTGTATGGTGTGTTTTAACCTCTTGAAAGTACAGTGAGCTAAATTCTGGTAAAAAGTACGGTGGGCCACCACCATCAGCAGGTCAGACCACCCAGGCCTTACTAAAGTGGCAGCCATCCAGCAGGAAAGGTGTGATCAAGCACCAGAGTGGTCAAAAACTGAGCAGGCCTATTTTGCCAAGTAGAACAATTATCAGAGGCAGGACTGTGAGATAACTGAGGAGCAGAAGGGGCCACCAAAGGAGTGTCCAAACATACTGGAATCTCCACACATAGCAAGAGAGCCACAGACAGTCTCTGGCAAGGGAAGAAGGGGTAGGAACACACAGGTAGGTCAAGACAGCTGTTATAAACCTCAGGAACAACACACAGAAACTACACAGATCGAATCAAACATCCCAGCTCTACAGTTGGGGAAATCAAGATCTACATCAATAAACAACTAATTCAAAACACTGGAGGAACGCCTGGGTGGCTCAGTCAGTTAAGCGTCCAACTTCAGCTCAGGTCATGATCTCACAGTTCATAGGTTCAAGTCCTGCATCAGGCTCTGTGCTGACACCTCAAGAGCCCACAGTCTGCTTCAGATTGTGTCTCCCTCTCTCTCTGCCCCTTCCTCACTTGTACTCGGCCTCTGTTTCTCTCTCAAAAATAAACATTAAAAAATTTTTCTTTTAAAAAAACAAAAAAAAGGGGCGCCTGGGTGGCTTAGTGGGTTAAGCGTCCGACTTTCGCTTAGGTCATGATCTCGCGGTTCGTGGGTTTGAGCCCCGCGTCGGGCTCTGTGCTGACTGTCAGCTCAGAGCCTGGAGCCTGTTTCAGTCTGTGACTCCCTCTCTCTCTGACCCTCCCCTGCTCACGCTGTCTTTCTCTCTCCTAGAAAAAAAAAAAAAAAACATTAAAAAAAAAACAAAAAACAAAACAACACTGGAGCCACACCTGTCAACTTCCATCTCACCTTTCCACCAGGCATGCTCCACCCCACCCCCCGCCCCCCGCCACACACACGTGGTTATAACCAGCCCCCACATGTGCCTGTGCATTTCTTAAGGAGGCAGCAAGAAATACCATCAAGCACTGCAGAGGTGCAACAGGCAATGTGGCCCTGCTTCTCTGCAGAGATGACACATTTTTCTCATAAGAATTAAGAACCAACGGACTCAGTTTAACACTCTCCAGGTAATTATGAACCACAATATTTTTTTAATTTTATATTTTTTAATGTTTTTTATTTATTTCTGAGAAAGAGAGAGAGAGAGGGAGACAGCACGTATAAGGAAGGGTCAGAAAGATAGGGAGATACAGAATCTGAAGCAGGCTCCAGGCCCTGAGCTGGCTGTCAGCACAGAGCCTGACGCGAGGCTCGTACACACAAAACGTGAGATCATGACCTGAGCCAGAGTCAGACGCTTAACGGACTGAGCTACCCAGGTGCCCCTGAGCCACAATATTTTAACTCAAAGTTCGTTCAGCTGGGTTAGATGGCATATATCAAGAAGGGGAAAAAAGAACAAAGAATGTAATCAAAAGAAATAAGCGGTGTTTAAGGGTGTATATGAGGAATGGAAGTGGCCTGGAGTTTGTGAGAACTGGGACCCACCAGACATACCTGGAGGGCTTCTTCAAGACATGGCCAGACCCCACCCAGAGTGTGCCATTCAGCAGGCCTGGGTTGGGGCCTGAGAATGTGCATTCCTAACAGGTTCCCAGGCACTGCTAATGTTGCAGTACGGGGACCAAACTCGTAAGCATCATCATTCGAAGACATACCTCAGATTTAATACATAACTGAAAGCACGGCAAATAATATTCCAAATCGGCCTGAAATGTATACCTTGCAATTTCCTTGTTAACTCTGGTTCTCATCTCATCCTCTTCGACCGCACTTGCCCAGTCCGAACATCTAGGATGGGGCTTGGGGCCTTCGGGAGTGGTAAAACTGCAAGAAAATGAAAATGTCCATGTGAAACGGGCCACACACTTTTCACTTCCTTTCAAGCAGTACATCAGGAAATGTTCAGATGCTGTTTGGGGGGCGGGGGGTGGCAGCAAGGGAACAGCCTCCGAGACAACCTCTGCTCCATAACGTGCTAAATCACTGAGTTCAGGCAATTCACTGAAAGCCTCTCTGGGCTTCATCGAACTTCTGGGCACCTACCATGTGCAGTGTTGGCTAAATCAGGAGGAAAAAGCCTACTGGGGGGAAGGCAAAGTCAACACGACCTCTTCAGCCCGAAGAATGGTGCCTAATACAATTTGTTCTTTTATTTGTAAAATGAAAAGCTATTTTTCAATATTTTAGAAAAAGCCTTAGGGGCATCTGGGTGGCTCAGTTGGTTTAGTGTCCAAGTTCAGCTCAGGCATGATCTCATGGTTCGTGGGTTCGAGTCCCGGGTCGGGCTCTGTGCTGATATCTAGCTCAAAGCCTGGAGCCTGTTTCAGATTCTGTGTCTCTCTCTCTCTCTCTCTCTCTGACCCTCCCCTGTTCACACTGTCTCTCCCTCTCTCTCTCAGAAATAAATAAAACATTAAAAAAAATTAAAAATTAATGTGACTCAGTAACCATATCCCAAAGAACCAAATGGAGGACTAACCAGAGCTGGACATGAACTTTTTTTTTTTAATGTTTGTTTATTTTTGAGAGTGAGAGACAGAGTGTGAGCAGGGGAGGGTCAGAGAGAGGGAAACACAGAATCCGAAGCAGGCTCCAGGCTCTGAGCTGTCAGCACAGAGCCTGATGTGGGGCTCGAACCCACAAACCACAAGATCATGACCTGAGCCAAAGTCAGATGCTTAACCAACTGAGCCACCCAGGCCCCACCAGAGCTGGACATGAACTTCTCACTAGTGTATCAAGAAGTTCAGATCTCTGCCATGGCAGGTTCCTGTACTTTTAAAAGGTGCTTACAAATGACCTTCCACTACATTTTGGTAGAAGAGAAAATGGCTCTTGCAGAACTGAACCTTATTTTTTATTATTTTTTAATGTTTGTTTATTTTTGAAAGAAAGAGAGAGAATACAAGTGGGGGAGGGGCAGTGAGAGAGGGAGACACAGAATCCAAAGCAGGCTCCAGACATTTGAGCCCAACTTGGGGGCTCAAACCAACGAACAGAAAGTTCATGACCTGAGCCAAAGCCGGATGCTTAACTGACTGACCGAAGCCTATTTTTCAGATTAAACAGAACATAGTCACCAGCCTATCCTATCTCAGGGCAAAAAAATGTTTTTGGGAAGGTGCTGGAATGGAAAACAAAGCCTATTTTACACAACGACCTAACCTCCGTCCACAGGAACTTCTCACATCCTGGGATGGATCTACTGCAGGCACCTGTATGCATTCCCCACTCAACACCATAGCACACTGGGGAGAAAAGCACTGCCAACAGCAGACACAAATGGCATTTCTGCCACATTAGACGAACAAAGAGGCCAATGTGGCTGGTGAGCTGCAGGGGAACCCACAGGAACACTAAGGACTTTTAAAGCAATGTAACGATTTAACATTTTGTTCTCAGCTAAATGCCAGACGGATCGATCCTGACCTCACATCCGCTCCAGCCCTATCCAGGTCTCTCCCACACTCAACACTCCTTCCCAAGTATCTTTTCTAGCCCTAAGTATCTAAAAGGCATAACCGTGTTCTGGTAATTCACATTCACCCACACTCTCCTGACATCTTCTCCGGCTCACGTGAGAAGCTTCAGCCTGACTAGGGACTCCCTCCCCGTGCCGGCTCTGCTCTACCCACACCCTCTTCACCTTAGCACACGGCTCCACAAGGAACAAAGATGTTCGCAGCTAACACCCTGTGCATCACCAACTCATCAGCAAGTATTAGGAGTCCTGCCTTAGAAAGTCGAAAATAGAGATTTCTCCCCATCTCTATTTTTCACTGTCCCGTCCCCTTCCGCCTGAACTTAGCAGCCCACCCACTTTGTGCTCCTCTAGTCAGACTTCAGACAGGCCAAACGCATCCCCACCTGGGGGGCCTTGGCACACAGATCCTTGCAGTGCCTGTTTTTCCCCAGTCACCACACACAAGTCACCCAACACAGGCCTTCATCCCTGCCCTGATTTTATCCACCCACACCCCGTCCCTCTGAAACACCCTGACCAGCTGAGCTGCCCGCATCAGAGTACAGGCATAAGGAAAATGGAAATGTGGTTCACAAAGTGTCCTAACCTCCCCAACATGCTATGCACTCTAGAAACCACTCACATAAACACTGCAATGAAGGCTCATTCAGAGAGAAAATACCTGGGGACATCAGAATGAAAAGAAGGATCTAGGAAGGAAGAGAAGGGAAGAGAGAAGAACTTGATGTTCCAGAGAATAAGAAACATGACACAAAAATTACAGGAAAAAAAAAAAAGAATCTACAGGCACCGACTTTGGCTCAGACCATGATCTCCCAGCTCATGAGTTTGAGCCTTGCACTGGGCTCTCTTGGGATCCTCTGTCCCCTCTCCCCCCTCTATCCCCCTCCCCACTGTGCTTTCTCAAAAACAAACATTAAAAAAAAAAAAAGATTCTGCCCTCCCCCACTTGTGCTCACATGCTCTCTCTCAAAAATAAACTTAAAGGAAAAAAAAAGGATCTGGGATTCAAATCTTGGTTTGCATCCCAGCACATATGCCTGTTTTCACTGTGGTGTGTCACCTAACTCCTCAAAGCGGAGTCTTCTGAGAGCCAACCTAGCCGGCTGCACGGAAACATTCTAAAGGCTCCCCACAGTGTCCCCACAACACAGGACGGCTGGCTCCTGAGGCGGAGATCAGCTTGTGCTGACACTTAGCACTAGAGAGCCTGGCGGGATCTTCACCTACCCCAGTCACGTGACACACGGGTGCCTTCACACTCAGATAATGAAAAACACAGGCATCTTAATCAATCAAACATTTGAGAAGCAACCGCCTTACCTAGTCAGGGTGCTATACCAGAGACACCACAAGTAGTCGGCTGTGGTGGCCCTCTGACCTGTCGTAAGACCTGGACCTGCAACCACTCAAGCATCGTGACCCACGGGGCACCCTAACTAATCAGATATCGAAAGCCACAAACACCCTCACTAATCAACTGACGCTGAGACACAAGACACTACACGTGGATCAGAGTGGCAATCTCCAGGTGCCATAACCAGTCAGGATTGGGAGGAGGGGACCCCAGGAGCCGTAACCAGTCAGGACGGGAGGGGGGGGTGGCCCGCCAGGTTGTCATAGCCAGTCAGGACGGGGGACCCCCAGGCGCCATAACCAGTCAGGATTGGGGGGAGGGGACCCCAGGAGCTAACCAGTCAGGACGGGAGTGGGGGGGTGGCCCGCCAAGTTGTCATAACCAGTCAGGACGGGGGACCCCCAGGTGCCATAACCAGTCAGGAAAGGGGTCCCAGGTGCCTTCACCAGTCAGGCGAAGGATCCCAGGAACCTTAACCAGTCAGGACGAGGCCCCCAATAGCCTTACCCTGTCAGGCGAGGGACCCCAAGAGCCTTACCCAGTCGGACAGGGACCCGCGAGCGCTTTAAGCAGTCCGGCGCCTGCCCCCAGATCCCTAAGCTAACAAGGTGGGCCCCCCGGGCGCCTTAACCAGTGGAGCGGGGGCCCCGGGCCCACCTGTCGGGTCTGCCGTCGCCCGCCGGCTTCGCGGGGCCCTCAGCGTCCTCGGGCTTCCTGCGCCTCCCGTCGGCTCTGCGCTTCCGTCCGAGGCTCCACCTCGCGGGGGGCGGGGGGCTACGGACGAGAGGCCGCGTCAGTGTGGGGGTGGGGGGTACGGCCTCGAGGCCCCCGACGGCCCGCCGCCCCCCCCCGGCCCGCCCGGAACGCCCCGGGGCGCACGGCCCGTCTCACCTGGCGTCGCGGTCTCGGCGGCTCCCGCAGCCGGAGGGGCTTCGCGGCCGGCAGGCCATGTCGAGCGCGACGACGGCGACTGCGAGGTGCTGTGGTGCCTGGCGGCGGCGGCGTCGGGCGGGGGTCCGGGGCCGGCGGGCGCGTCCTCTCCCGCGCCGGCGCTGACAGGCTCTGCGAGTGCGCCCCGCCCCCAACCGCTTTTATGCGCCGGCGGCCCCGCCCCTCCGGGCTCCCGCGCGCGCCGCGTCGGGCGAGACCATCGGGGCCGAGCCGGCGGGGGAGCCCGGGCGGCAGCGCGCGCTCCGTGGACTGCCCGGGCCTGGGCGGGGCGCCGCGAGACCGCAGCCCTGACGCTGCCTTCGGGCAGGCGGCCGACTGACGCCGTCTGGCCGGACGAGGAGAGGCCCGAGGAATGGTTGCCCCCTCCTCCTAGCATGGGGGCGGCCGGGGCTGCCGCGCCTCCGCGGGCGGGGGAAGGGGTCTTGGCGGGAGATTCGGGCGCGCGCGAGCGACGCGGGCGCTCGGGGTGGGGCAGAGGGCAGGCGGCGGGTCTCTGATTGGTCGGCGCCGCAGGGGCGGTCCCTGCGCTGGCGGGAAACGGGAACCCGGAAGGGGAGGCTGCGCTGACGCCGCAACCGACCCGTCGCCGCAGGCTATCCGCAGTTCTCCGCGCTGCGCAGAGCTCACTTCCGCCGCTTTCGGCGCCGCCTCTGGCTCTTTGACCCCCACCCGCACTCCACGGGCCCTCCGTGACTCCCAGACCCGTGCGCTTGTAGGCCTCGTCCAGGACCCACGCCCTTGAGCCACCACAGTGTTCCCATGAGGGTCCCTACATCTGGAGTGCCTGCAGGCAGACCCCAAGGGCCCTGGCCCCCACCCCTTCCCCAAAACCGCAGTCCCAGAGCTACTGAGCCCGCTCCCGCGGGAGCCCTGGCTTCCTGAGACCCCATCCTGCAGCTGGAACAAAGGGTAAGCTGCCAGCAGTGTCTGCCTCCCTTCTCATTTTAAGCAAAAACGGGTACGTTGAAGTGGGCACAGTGCTGCTGCTTCTCAGCTGGCTTCTCCCCCTTACCAGTTCGAACATCAGGAAGGACAAACAAACCGTTCCATTTAAGTCTTAAGTTTTGAGGCTATCGTTTTATTAAATACTGTATCGCTTAGCTACAATAAGTTTATAAAACTAAGTAACTTTCTCTTGTAAAAATAACCTGGCCCAGCCCTCCTTTGGCAGCACCTGAAACTGGGCTGAGGCTGGGCGTGCCCTCCCCTCTGATGGCCTGCCTTCATTTGTGGAGTACCCTGGGGGTCCACAAAACTGAGCCACCTCCACTCCCAAAAGCCTGGGGTTTCAGTGTGGCCTTGGGCAAGTCGAACCAGCTGGGTCCATCACCACTGCTTGAAACAGCCAGGCTTAGGAGGCTTAGGACTACGAATGTGAGGCTCCAAGCGAGGACCCCCGGCAGCCACATCTGTCAGAGCTGGACCCAAAGGCCCAGGACTGCCCTCTCAATTGTGCCACCAGAAATCGGGAAGAGGCACGGCACATTCCTTCCTGACTCAGGAGGACCCTACAGAGGGGTGCCAGCACAGGCCAGCCCGGTGCTGTGTCCCAACAAGCTTGTTGCCTGGATGTAGGAATTCGCTGTGTGTATCTTCATCTCAGTACTGCCTCTGACCAGAAATCGGAGACATGGCCTTTCCCTGGACTCCTGGGGGCAGCAGCAGGCGCGGAGGTGCATGCCCCTCCAAGAGACAGGCAACCCCACAAGCATGCAACTAAAGAACAGGAAGTGAGAGAAGCCAGCTCCTCACCCAGCCTCTAACAGGAAGCCCAGGATATCCCCAGGCAAGGAGCAGGGTGGGGCCACCCATCCAGGAAGAGCCACCAGCAAGCCCCAGGCAGTGCTCTCACCCTGGAGTTGTACCCCAGGCCTCTCTCTTCAGGTCAGACTCCCCCCCCAGGTCATGAGAGCAGCCTGGTGGGGTGCGGAGGGAACACGACCCCCCAGGGCCAGCAGCCAGCTTGGAGATGGGAGCCTGGAGGATAGACTGCAACCAGTTTGGATAAACCTGCGTCTGGTATGTAACTAAGAGGCAAGTGTGCTACATAAAATTAAGGCAAGTGGTTCAGGGGAGGGCGACAGGGTCAGACCCCCAGTCTCCCAGAAGATAGCTCAAGTGGCCTCAGAATGCTCCGGAAACGGGCCCCACACCACACCAAGTTCCGTGTCCAGCACCTGTCCTACCTGGTGAAACAGAAAATAAAAGGAAGAAGAGGCATCGAAGACCTATCCCACGGTCACTGCCAGCGCCGCAGCAGAAAAACCTCCCTTTCAGACCCAAACCCTCCTCCTTCATCACGCTGGGAAAAGAGCCCCTGGCTGACCACACAAACGGGCCTGCAGGCCCTGGCTGCGCTCCACGGGGTCGCTGAGGCTGCTCCGTCACCTGGCCAGCGGGCTCAGCGCACAGGACACACATCCAGGACGCAGAAGCGAGCACGGCAGGTGGGGCACGGCACGCGGCTAGCGAGCCAGGTGTCGGGGTGCTGCGGGTCCTGGCGGCTGGCAAACCACTTGCCCATGCAGGTGACGCACCACATGGGGCGGCAGTAGCACTGCTGGCACTCGCCCTCGTCCACCTCGTGGCATGTCTTCACCAGCTTCACGCTGGCACGCGTCTGCATGCAACCGATGCAGGCCTCCAGCTCCTGTGAGCGGGCCCAGGCGTCAGAGGCAGTGTGGCCACTTGGCCTTGCGGGGCCGCCCCACCCCCCAGGAAGCCTGGCCTGTGGGCTGGCACCTGCCCCTGCCCAGCCCTCACCTGGCTGCTGGGGACGGAGTAGGTCGGATTGATCTCCACCAGAGAAGCAAACGTCTCCAGGAACAGGTCGCCCAGGCTCTGATGAATGACCACGTTGGCCGCACTGCGGATGGGCGCGCGGAGTTTCTCACACAGCTCACCGTACTCCGTGGAGTTCAGCCTGCACGAGGTGGGGACTGCTGGGCTGGGGCCACGGAATCGAGGCCCTTCTGCAAGGCAGGGCTTCATTCCCGATGGGGATGCTGAGGTGCCTCTAGGGTGACAGGGCACCCACGACCTCATAGAATGTGAGGGCTCAGGCACAGCCCAGTTGCCAGATGGAAACGAGCCAGCAAAGATAGCCCAGAGGCCGGAGCCCACAAAACCAGCACCACCCACCTGCCCTCAAGCGATGCAGGGAGGGGCAAAGAGGGATGGGGGCGGGGCGGGGAGAGGGGCGGGCGTTGCAGCTGAAACACAAAACACCTGACCTTCAACAGGTTCAGGCTCACAGTGGGTCCCAGAAGAGGGACAGCAAACTGGCCGCAGCCTGGGCCCCAGAGCCAAGGCAGCCACCAAGCCTTGGTCCACCCACAAATGTCCCCAGTGTGCTCCCTGGAAAAGAGCTGCGGAAGGCAGCTCAGAAGACATGGAGAAAGTGGAAGCAGAGACTACCTGGGGGCGTGAGGGGGCAAGGGGCCTTGAGGGAGGGGCCCGCTGGAGGGGTGGCCAGAAGAGCCTGCTCCATCTGCCATCACCTCCCAGAGGGGCCTTAGCCTGGAACACAGGCACTGGTGGCCTCTGGAGGCACCAGCCTCACTTCTGCCCTGGCCACAGGCACACCTACCGGATGTCGAAGGCCTGCACACCAGGGCTGGTGCTGGCCACGTGGATGGTGAGGAGCTGCACAGGCAGGTTGGGGTCCGGTGAGAGCTCGTGCTGCTGTGATTCTGTCACAGTCAAGTGCACATCCTGCTGCTGAGCCACGTGCACACGGTATGTGGTCACCTTCATCACCCACGTGTCCGTCACAATCACCCGAGCACCTGGTGCCCCCGTGGCAAACTTGTCGATCCGCCGGAACTCAGTGTTGACGGAGGAGGCGACAGCCCACCAACCTGACTGCGGGAGGGCGTAGAGGGCCAGGGTGCGGGCCAGCGGGTGATGGGCCCACCGATCCCAGGACCAATAGTAGATCAGGGTGCAGGCGACGGTGGGCAGGGTCACCGCCAGCAGAAGGAAGAGCCGCCAGGCCTCTGGGGCCTGGCTGGGGGAGTAGAGTTGCTTCTCTGAAGCTGCAAAACACATGCCCACGTAGTACCCTACAAAGGATGGGGAGGGTCTCAGCAGAAATCAGGACTGCCAAGCCATTGTTCTCCACCCCTACCCCACCCCCGTAGTGACCGCCTAGGGCCACAGTGCTGTCCCTGTACCTCTGGGGGAGGGGCACTACCCTTTATCTCTAGCCCCAGGCCTGGGCCTCTGTCCTGGTCAGCTCCCACGGCCAGGCCATGGTACCCCAGGGCAAGGGTGCCTTACCTGCCTCCCCGGCTAGCCCAGCTCAACCCTTGCCCATTACAATGGTACAATAAGTGAGAAAAAAGCGTTTTTAATTTACATCTTTAGTTTTGTATAATACACAATTACTGAAACAGAAAAAAAAACTAAAAATGCAAAAACAAATACAAGGATTTGGTGTCCCCTAAGGAAGAGCTGCACACTGGCCCTCTCAGAGGTGGGATCTTGGCCTCTCAACCCCACCCCTTTTTAGGAGGCAAATCAGGAGTGTAGTCCATTCCAGAGCTCAGATGTCAAAGAATAAAAATAATGGCGCACAGCACAAGAACTCAGAGACACTCTAGGGCCCCTATCTGCCAGATCAGAGCTAATGTTCATCTCAAAACACAAAGTAGATAGTGAAGGCTTGCGTGGGTCCCCTCAAAGGTGCAAAAATAATGGTAACCTGTTTGCTGTTGCTCAAGTTGCTACATTTAAAGTAACTTATTAGGCAGATATAGGTAATACGCATATAAAGTTTCAGAGCTTTTCAGAAAAAGTTCATGAGAGAGAGACTCCAGGGCTGGTCCCTAGGCCAGTCTCCATCATCTCCTCCACCTCCATGAGTCACTCAGCTCCCTAAGTTCTGGTTTCTCTGTCCATCTGCTGCATGACAGCCCAGCTCCTCACAGGTTATAGGAAAAGTGTAGTTAAAGGGGCTCCAGAAAGCTGTGGGGATCCTTAGTTCCAAGGCCAGAAATCCAACCCACGACCTTCACGGGAGCCAGAGTTCTGGGCCGCACTTTCCTCATTTGAGGAACCAGCTTAGAGGCATCCCTGCCTCACAGGGGTACTGGGGCCTCAGGCTGGGAAAGCCACATAGCTACCCCGACAGCAGGTGAAGAGACTAACTTGGGCACGGAGACCACCAGCCCACCACGAAGCCCCGGTTCCCATCCTGCCCTGGGCTTCTCTCTGCTCCCCTTCCCCGGAAGGCAGGCAGCCCTCCTGCGCATGCCCGGTCTCAGCCCGGCCCGCTCCAGCTGGCCCTCCACACCCAGCCCAGGCTGCCGCGCCCTGCGGACAGCTAGACACTCCGGAGTCCACAGAACCACAAACCGGGCCCCCTGCCAGCCGGCCACCTGCCCTTCCACACCTGCTCTGTGTCCTCCAGAGAACACACACACACACACACACAATAACCCGCTTTCCAGCCAATCCCCTGTGCAACCACTTGGCAAACCAGCCTCGGAGAGGCCAGACAGCACATGGATCATCGCCCAGCCCCCCGGGCAACGTGTGAGGATCCTGCCCCAGACAGACACACACACACACACACACCCGGGCAACGTGTGAGCATCCTGCCCCAGCCGCGCGCACACAGGCGCGCGCGCCCTGCAGGCCGTCTGCACCTGTGACACCCCCATGGGGTTACCCATCTCTGCCTCCTTTCTCACTTCCACCTTCCTGTTGAACTCCATTAACTCCCGGCCTCCTGCGATAGCTCACGACGTGCCCGGCTGGGCGAAGCACAACCCCCAAGCCCCGCGCTGGCATCCTAAGCCTCCGCTTCTGCCACCTGCAAGCGGCCAGCTGCCGCCCGCTCCTGCCTGTCACTGCTGGGAGCAGCGGACGCGAGGGCCCGGGGGGCCGGCCCACAGCCGCGGCTGGCTCTCGGGGTCAGCCGATTCTCCCCAGCTCGGAGCCCCCGGGGGGCCGCGCGCTCTCCCCGACTCTCCTCCACAGGGAGCGAATCCCGCCCAGCCACCTCTGGGGTCCCGGAACTCGGCCGCGAGCCCGAGGGGCCACTTCAGTCCACCAGGGAGGGGACAGGCCGGCGCCCTGCCCCGGGGACTCCCTGGGGGAGGGTCGGCCTGCTCACCGAGCGGCAGCAGCGAGTGGCACAGGAGCGTGGCGGACGTGCGGCGCAGGTGGTAGGGCACGAAGGCGGCGTCCTCGCTGCCCAGCCAGCCCGACAGCAGGTTCTGCACCGTGAGCCCGGCTGAGTGGAACTCGGTGGGCGTGAACACGAAGCACACGGCGAACACCAGGTAGGCCAGCGTGAAGGTGACCTCCGGGCTGTCCATCGCGCTGTCGCGACCGCCGGGAAGCCGTCAGGGAGGGGCCCGCAGCACCCGACGGGAAACAGACCCGACAGTTCCGAGCCGGTGGGCGCCGGCAGGTGGGCGCCAGGCCGGCGCGGGGCGCTCTAGGAGACGGTGTCCGCGCCCGCGAGGAATTCTGGGACATGGGTCCCCGCCCACAGGTCGGCGTGGGGCTCTCTGGGAGACGTCACGTCGACGCGGGGCACGCTGGGGAATGGAGTCCCGCCAGCAGATCTACCACAGGGCACCCTGGGAAGTGGAGTCGCAGCGCTCCGCACAACACAACCCCGAGTCGTGAGTGCGCGACAGTCCTCGCGAGGGTTTGCTTCCATCCCACGACCCTCCTTGGGGGCGGCGTTGCAGCTGGCCCCATTTTACAGCTGGGGAAACTGCGGCCTGGGCCAATGGCTGTCAGGCCCTGGTCTTTCCGCGCAACCCAGTCGCGTCCGCCGCGGAACCGAGATCCGCGGGCTACGGCGAACCCCACAGTCATCTCTCGCCGGCCAGCAACCCTCCCCTTCCCCTCCGCAGGCTCGGCGAGCCGCGATTCCGACGACTTCCGGCGCCCAGCGTGCTCCGCCCCCGGAAGTGGAGCCGCCGGCGGCCCGTGCGTCCCGCCCCCGGCCGCGCGCTGATTGGCCGCGCGCCCCAACCGTCGGTATTTGAATCCGCGGCGGGCGGACAGTGGTGCGGAATCGGCGCCTCCCGCTCTCTCGGCGTTGTATGGCCGCCGGCAGGTAGGCGGCGGCGGCGGGGTCCTGGGCTCCGGGCTCCGCCTCTACCTCTTCCCCCAGCCCTCGGCCCTGACCCCCGCGACAGCAGGGCTATGCCCGCCTTCCACGGGGCCTCCTCCCTCTCCGGCTTCTCCGAAGCCGCCTGTGTCCGCTGTCCACACGGCACCCCTTCACCCTTGAGCCCAGCCCGCCGGCTTTTACGGCCGCCGTTGCAGGAGCACCTTCCTGCCGGGGCCCCTGACAGCCCGCGTGTCCTGTCGGTCTCCGGCCGCAGCCCGGGAGCGGAACCGGCTGACTTCCCCGCCTCTGACACGCCTGGCCGGCTCCTGCCTGCTGATTCCTCCCATCTCCTCGGTCGCCCTCCAGGACGTCCCTGTGTCAGGGGTCCTTCCCGGTCCGCCGGCCTCCCCTCCCCATCACCTGGTGACCTCGCCCTGCCTCAGATACCACCTCTAGGCGTCCCTTGCAGACGTGCAGCTCCCACCCTTAACACCACCGGCTCCCTGCGTCGTGTCGGAGACTGGACTCCTAACCTCCGGCCCTTCCCGGCGCTGCGGGGCAGCTTCGTGCTGCTTTCTCCGCACCCCACCTGGGGCCCATTGCTGACCCCAGCTGCACCTGCGCAGAGACCTGGGCTCCAGCCCTCTGGGGACTGCTGATTCTCTCCACCTGCTCAGCACATCTCCGGCTGGTTTCCTGCCACAGACTTGAGCTCCCAGGGCCGTCTGTGCTGGCAGCCTCTTCTTCGGGGCCCCCATTTGGAAGCCAAACCCAACAGACTCTGCAAGGCTGTTCTCCTACCTTCCTCAGGGCAGAGAACGGCAGAAAGGTGTCCTCTAGGCCCCTCCCTCACGTACCCCACAGCCATCCAACCCTCTTCCTGTTTTCTCCAGTTCAGGCCAAAAACCTAAGAGTCATCCTTGACCTCTGTTTCTCTCCCGCTACCAAATGTCTCGTGGGCTGCTGGCCAAGCCAGGGCCCATCATTTGACCCCTGCCCGTGTGCAGGAGCTTCTGACCCCACGCCTCCCTCCTGCCTTTCCCCAACCTCCACACACGCACGGCCCCACCCCCACACCTTCCAGGGCATCTTGTTACCCTGACCTCGCCTCTTTCCAGGCCGCCCTTGCTCCCTCCGTTCCCGCCCCCTGGCCTTGCTCTTCCAGCTGCGGCCTCCAGCACCCCCAGCACCAGCAGACACCTGTGATGTTCCCTTCGCTAGGTCCTCTGGTGACTCCTGGGTTGGGAGCGTCCTGCTGGACCATCATGTGGACCTCAGGAAGACAGAGTGGAACTGTTCTAGGGCCTTCTGGGCCTCAGTGGAGGTCCCTCGTGCACGTTTCTAGACTCCCAAGTCTCAGCGCAGAAGCCCCCCCCCCCCCCCCAAGTAATTCTGTACCTTGCTGGGCGCTGCCTTGTCCTGCTTTTCCTCTGGGCCTCTGCCTTGCTATACCCCCAGTCCCCAGCGTGTGGCGGAAGAGCAGCCACAGCACCCCTCTGCTTTCCTGCCCTCTGCTAACTTGGCAGTCTGCTCCAGCTGTGCTGCGGCCCCAGCGCCTTCAGCAGAGGCTGAGGGGAGACCCAGCTTCCTAAGAGGCCAGCACAGCTGTCTCCTGACTTTTACCCACAAAACCCAAGTTGTTTTGAGAACCCGATTCTTCCTCTTTGCACTGCAGGCTGAAGGCTGTTGTAGCTCTTTGTCCTGGGAGGCAGCAGGTCCCCTGAAGCAGGACAAGGACTGCCTGGCAGAAGACGTGCTGCCTGAGATGTGACCCACCTGTGCAGGAAGGAGACGTCAGCCTTGCAGGGCCAGCTCATGGTTGTGTCCGTTCATCCGCTGACACGCACTGTCTGCTTTTCCAGAATGAGTCTGCAGATCTGCAACGATGAAAACGTCACTGGTGACAAAAGTGCAGAAAACTGTGAGTTCCTGTTTTCGCCGCTAGAACCTACCGGAAGATTATCTGTTCTTCGTCTGTCCCAGAAAGAAAATGTGCCACCGAAGAGCACAGTCAAAGCTATGAAAGTAAGCCCATCTTCCCCGGGTCAGGTCTACTGTGTGTCACTCGTTCGGTCACCCTGGGACTCGCTTTCCTGGGGTCTTTGGGGTGGGTAGGGCAGGACACTGCCAGCAGTAACCTCAGCTAGTGAACAGGCCTCCTCCTTCCCCAACAGGTGACTTTTCAGACTCCCCTGCGGGACCCGCAGACACACCGGATCTTGAGTCCTAGCATGAGCAGCAAGCTTGAGGCCCCTTTTGTTCTGGCGGATGCTGTTGGGCTGGAAAACTCCCATCACAACTGGGCCCAGAAAGAGAAGTAAGTGTCAGTGCCGCTTGGTGTGCTGCCGTTCGTAACCTTTCCAGTGGACGCAGCAGGAACATTCTGTCTGGTCATCTGTCTTGCCTCCTGGTTTCCTCTCTGAGCGTGTGCTGTGCAGCGCCCAGCACCCTCGCGTTGAAGTCCTTTATTAGTAGAAAAGTGGATGGTGAAATACTTAGAATAAGGTTAAGTTTTGTGTCTGCTCTCCCTTCCTGTGCCTTTACCAGCAAACTGGCCTGGGCTTTTGTTTCGCAAAAAGCCTGATCACATCGTCAAGAAAGGACACTCTGTGCTGCTTATCTCCCCCCGCCCCCGGTCTCCTCTCTGCACGCCAGCCTTGGGCACCCTCCGTGTCAAACCCTGCGGTGTCTGCGGGCAGAGTTCTCGACCTTGCCTTTCTTTGCAGTGAACACCCTTGATCCTCCTGAGTCCTGTCCCTGACTTTGTAATTGGTGGTCCCCACCTGAACAGGGAAGATGGGCCAGCACAGAAAACCTTAAACGTGACTGTCTATGTCTCTCAGAGCCCTGTGTGACCTAGGTGGCTCACCAGCATTGGCTTATGAGGATCCACTTGAGAAAGTTAATCCCGAGAAGAGGATTGACTGAGTATTCTTTTTCTGTCTTTAGCTGATGTTTTCTTACAGACTAAAATCTAAGTTAAAAGTGTAAGTTAAAAACTAACAGGTTCCTTAGTGTTAACTAAGTTTGTTTCTAAAAAGCCAACAGTTCACCAAGGAAGCCGACACCAAAGTGACCAATGGAATTGTCCAGATACGGACAGTGGCCAATGCCAACCTGCCGCCAGGGGATGTGAGACCAGCGTCTGAAGATAGGCAGCGTTCCAGTGGGCCCACCTCTGCCCCCCTGGCCAGCCTGGAGCCCTCAGGCCCTCCCCAGGTGCCAGAAAGTCTTGAAAATCAAGTGGCATCTCTAGGACCAATGTCTGGGAGCCCTGAGCAAGCCTCAGAGGAAAATGCTCATTCTTGTGTCTTAGAGAAAAGTATTACGTCCACCTCTGAGGTCCTAGGAGCCCCTTCCCAGATGGCTCTCCAGGACAGGACGGAAGGTCGTCACGGGGCTGCCGGAGAGAGCTCTAGCCTGGTCCCTGCTTCCTCGGCCAGGGTCACTTTGCCCCCTTCTCCTCCCCTCAAAGGAGCATGTGGAGAAGGGCCCCTTGAAGACCTGCCTGCCAAGGCCCCCACCGGCCCTGAAGCCACTTCTGGTCCTGGGAACGCCATCCTGGGCAGCCCCCTGAACACTAGAGGGACCACATCCCCAAATCCTCAGAAGGAAGAAGCTGATGGCCACCAGGCCACCTCTTGGAGGAGTGGGCCCACAGGGCTAGAATTTGATTTGTTTGACCATGCCGCCAGCGGAAGGGAACCGGAGAAGGGACCCGGCCTTAAACCTCCCTCTAGGATACCAGAGTCTAAGGAGGAAAAGGCACCTGAGGAGGCAGGGGAGGGGCCTGTTCCCCTCCCCCAGGGGTCTTACAACCTGGATTGGAGCAAGCTGGATGACCCAAACTTTAACCCGTTCGAAAGTGGAGGAAGGACCCAGCCCCCAGCGTGCCCCCAGAGCAGGCCCGCAGCGCCTGTGGCCAAGCAGCTGCCTGCTGGTCTGGAGGCCACAGGGCACTGCCCCCCAAGCCAGTGAGTACTTGGTGGGTGGCGGGGAGGGGTGGCTGGTCACTCCGTGCACACACCAGAGGACCCCAGGCCAGAGATGTCACTTACACGCGCCCCCCGAGGAGGGGCCTTGGGGTGTACACAGGCCGCACAGGCAGCTGCGGGTCCTGGGTCCCGGGTCCTGAGGCTGAGGAGGGGCTCACGGCCACCGTAGATGGCAGGTGAGGGATCATAGAGGGGAGTGCGCAACAGTGCCCTGGTCCGTCCCCTCCGCAGAGGTGCGGGTGATTCTCGTGCCTTTTTTTTTTTTTTTTTTTGGGTGTGTGCAAGCAGAGGATAGGGGCAGAGAGAGAGAGAAAATCTTTTAAGTAGGCATCACCCTCAGGGCAGAGCCCAGTGGAAATCAAGAGTGAGATGCTCAACTGATAAAGCCAACCAGGCACCTTTTTTTTTTTTTTTTAACCCTTTAAGTCTTTGTGCTTTTTTAAGAGCATTATCTATAATAACTCTGGAAACTTAGAAATATTTCTAGCAAATTCTGTCTACTTGCAAAGCCAGTGGCGCTGCCGTTCCTCACTTCGTGGGGTGTTTCAGGCTCTCTCACGCTCTCTGGGGACGGCCACTGAGTGGCCACCAAGTGCTGGGTCCCGAGAAGAGCTTACCTGGTGCCCACCACCCGCACTTGGACTTGCACCCGGTGAGCATCTGGGGGCTGCCCCTTGCACATGCACACCCTACTTGCCCGGTATTGGAACCGTGCTGCGAGGGGGTCCTGGCACCTACTTGCCTTCCCTCCAGCGTGTTTTGCCAGTTTCCCAGTGAAAAAAGACAAATGAAGCCCTGGGGTTTGCTTTTTGAGTTGAAACCATCTCAGAGCTCCTGGCCCAGGTGCCCTTTGAAGCCTGTGGTTCTCGTGCAGTTGAGGTAGGCCGGGTTGCAGGTCTCCCCCCAGAGCCCAGCTGGTGGGGGGACAGGGATGCAGGCCCAGCTGACCCCATCTCTTCAGGCAGGTGCCTTCGGCCTCGGGGAATGACATACTCGTGGCACAGACTGCGGCAGGGACCCCGGGCACAGCGGGCAAGGTAGGGCCACGTGCGTGTGCTGTCACATTTGTACGGGGGCAGAGGGAGGCCGGCGGGGACCAGGTGGGACATAGCGCCGCACCTAGCTACCTAGCCCCTGGATGAGACTGGGCCTGTGGCTGCCCCGGGTGCCCCAACTGAGCCTGCCTCCTTCCAGGAGGGAGCTCCGGGCCACGCCGCTGCGTCAGCGCCACCCCCCCCTCCACCCGGGCCGGAGCCCCCCTCGGACCTGGATGAGGAGCACTTCCGAGACCCAGCGGAGGGTATGTACGGTGTCCCCGCTGGCAGTCTGCTGTTCTGTCCGTGCCTGCGCTCGCGGTGGCTTCCGGGTGGCTCTGTTCCCGGGCCGGACGGGCCTTAAGTGATCCACACAGAGGCTGCGGGGAGCAGAAGGCGGACGTTCTCGGGGCCCAGCTGTTAAACTGAAAGGACCTCTGGGAACGGAAGCGGAGGCTGGGCAGCAGGGTCGCAGAGATGCAGTTGGAACGGAGCACCCGGGCTCTCGGACAGGACGCTAGGCCTTAGGCGCGGGTGGGATCGGGTGGCCGTAATAGACCTGAGGCCACCCAATGGGGTCTCCATCTCGGTGGCCTAACCTCCAGGCGGAGGGAAGACTGGCAGTGGCACGTCGAGGTCATCTGTGGCATGACGATCGAGGGTCCTCACGGGGGCCCAGAAACCAGGGACGGGCGCGGCTAGGCCAGGCCTGCGTCCCCACCGGGACCCGGAGCCCCGTGACGCGCGGGGCCTCGTGTATGGTTTCTTTCACTGAACGTAAGGTTCTCCAGGTTCATCCACATTGTAGCGGGGTCAGCGCGCCCTTTCCGCGGCCGAGCTCGTTGGACTGTGTGCGTGGCCCACGCTTGTGTACCGCTCAGCAGCTGGTGGCCGTGCGGGTATTTGTGCGGACGTCAGCTTTCCGCTTCTCCTGGGTGGGGACCTGCACGGGGTCCTGGTCCCGGGGTCTCTGTGGGCGAGGCTGCTGGAAGCCCTGCCAGGTGGCTTGCCAAAGGGGTGGCACCATTTTGCAACCAAACAGCCACTGTGTTCGGGGTCCCCGTCAGCACCTGCGCGACTGGGACTTTGATTCTGCCGTCCTGGGGGTGGTGAGGCGCCACCTCCACACGCCTCCCGCGCCTCCCTGGGGACGAGCATCTTTTCATGTGCCCTTCACAGGTTTTGTGGAATGTCTGCTCGGTACTTTGTTTTCCTTGAGTTCCTGTTTATGAACTGAGAGTTTTGTGAGATACAGGATTTAGAAAAAATTTACTTAATTTTTTTTTTTTCTTCTGAGAGAGGGAAACACAGAATCTGAAATAGGCTCCAGGCTCTGAGCTAGCTGTCAGCACAGCCCGACGTGGGGCTCAAACCCACGAACCGCGAGGTCATGACCTAAGTGAAAGTCGGACGCTTAACCGACTAAGCCACCCAGGCACCCCAGGAAAAATTTACTTTCTGTGCGTTGTCTTTTCTATCTCAGTGGCATCCTTTGAAGCACAAGCACTAACCTTGAAGTCTGATTTACCTCCTTTTTTCTTTTGTTATCTGTGCTTTTGGTGTGAAGTCTAGGGAATCCTTGCTAAATCCGCCGCCGTGAGGATTTGCCTTCATGCTTCCTAAAGTTTTATAGTTGTAGCTCTTCTATTTGGGTTTCCATTCAATGTGAGCTAATTTCTGTGTGTGACAGCAGGCACCCTTAGGCTTTTTAAGGACAAGGGGACTTTGTCAGGAACTTTAGGAATCTCGACAGTAGTTCTAGATGGTGCTTCCTAACCAGGGTGGTTTGGTCCCTGGGGACCCCAGGGCCCTGGCGCTCTGCCCCCTGCGGCACACGGGACGGCCCCACAGGGCAGTGTGGGCCCAGGTGTCCTTAGTGAGAGGATCGTTGGCTCCAGGCCGGAGGGGATGGGGTGGGGGCTCAGGGCACCACGACCGCACAGCCTGAGCACTGCAGGGGGTGGGGGGGTGGGGCAGAACCCCCGCTCACAGGCCGGGCCAGCTACGATGACGCGCTCCCTCTCAGTTCTAGGCACAGGGGCTGACGTGGATTATCTGGAGCAGTTCGGGAGTTCTTCGGTGAGTCCCCAGCACCGTCAAGGCAGTCTCTTCCCAAGCGTGGTTCCCAGAAGGGGCCCCTCCTAGAGCGGCCCTGTGCCCCCGTCCTGGCCCCGAGATCATGACGGTCCTTGTGCTCGGGCACCGGCAGCCTCCGCACCTCCCCAGACGCGGGACCGATGTTAGGACAGCCGCGCGGGGCTCCTGGTGGCCCCGCAGGGCCTGTCTCGGGCTCCGGGCAGACGTGAACTCGGGAGCGCACTGCTTGTGTGCTGTGGTCCCCCCCACATCGGGGACCACGGCGACCCCACTGACATGCCCTTTCCTTCAGTTTAAGGAGTCAGCCCTGAGGAAACAGTCCTTGTACCTCAAGTTTGACCCACTCCTGAAGGATAGCCCTCAGAGACCTGTGCCCATGGCCCCGGACACCAGCAGGTAGGGCCCCCCACCCCCCACCATGGCTGTGGGCTCCCTGGGCACATGGCTCATGGGAGGGCTCTGGACCAAGGGGGGACGTTTGTGGCTCAGCCTCGGGAGAGCAGGCCTCCACAGAGCCATTGGGTGCT